GCATGGCTACCAAAATCAATATCTTCTGTTATTACATCAACAAATGTACGCATAATTCGTGAATTCGAGTTACACAGAGCCAAGATAGCAAAACTATACTGGAAGTAGTTGCTGAAGTCTTGTGTTGGAAAACGACGCATCTTAAATGTTAGAATCGATGGTAAGTTATATCCGAAGAAATCTGAGACTTTGTGACAAGTAGTATTAAGGCCCAAGATATAATTAGCCAGGCGGCCTGCAGCTAAGTTTCTGAACTCGTTTCCATTATCATCTTCATCTGAATCACTCTCTGCCCTGAATCTGAAAAAAATGTTGTTAAAAATGTGCCAATTGTCTGGAATAATGTTTTTGTCTGTGTTTGATTATATATCGCATACTATATGCACTTTACAGTTATGTCTCATTCCACTTGATTTTTCTCCTGGTTTTGCATATTTATCGTTTATGATGTTATTTCTTTGATACTCACGGTGGTCTAGTCATACTTAGGAGACTGAGCATCTCAATCTCAAGTTGTTTCACGGACAGTTGACTTTCTAAATGTTCTTCGTTAAACCATGTTGGATCAGTCAGTTGTAGTGTAAGTACGGCGGCTGGGGTGACCTGGTGGTCCCAGCCCCATTGATCATTATGTTGTGATTCCAACCAATCAAATGCTGCCTCTTTGGCCTGGTTGGCTGAGTCTTGTAAACCATTACTGGTGTCGGGACCTGAAAAATGATAGAAAAAAGGCGATGGGGTCAAATATTACCTAGATAAATAGAAGTGCTAGCATTTGTCAATATGTCTTTGCCCATAAATAGATAACAGTTTTATTCACAATTGCATTTCAGATAGATAATTTCAATTCTGTTCAAGACAGTATTTCAGGTACATTTAAAGTAGCAACGTGGGTAATAAGAAATTACCTTTTATTCAGACTAAAAGTTACGTACGCTATAATAACCAGTGCATCATTCTAAAGCTAAGGCATAGTCATAAATGCTAGAACATATGTCGTATAAACACCTTAATGATGGCCAATTTCACTCTTGTACTTCAGGACTTCCGAAAGTTTTTATCATTTTCAGCCACGCGAATGACCGGTGAATTGCACAGAATGTTCGCTAGCGAGGTGGGGTTGGGTGGCGAGGTGCGCCTCATTTTTCTGTATTCATATCTATATTATATAATATAAGCGAATACAATTTATTTTAAAACCTGTTGCATTTTATGTTTGAAAGAATTATCTTAAAACTTAATGATATTAATTAAATTATGAAAAAAATGAAATTATGCAAATTCGGTAACTAATTAGATTCAAAGGTGGATTATTATCAGTATTAGATTAAATGATGGGCTTGTGTTGACTATATACAGACAAATGAAATTCAAAAAAGATGTTTGTAACAGCGTCCTCTTGTGTTGGGGTTCGGACTTACGCGTGTTGATGTTCAAGACTAAAATTCATAGCTACTTTGGACAATTTGTAATTTTACTGGATATTCCAGCACTATTTTTTATTCAATATACTTAACAGAAAGAAATTAGAGCACATGCTGGATGTTATCAAACGGTTAAAGTCTGCTTCAAACAACGTTTAAATGAACGCGCCCTCACAGTGTCTAGATAAACATGCGTAAGGCGACCCATGACCTTATATGGGATTATGGGTTCAGATAGGATAATGCATAACATACAATCCAATTATTCACGAGAAAATAAAAATATCTCTATTCGGAGAACGCATATTTAGCAAGCAACAGACCGTGGTACATGTAGGCAGACTAATATGTGGAGTCTGGTGGGCAAGTCCTAAACCCCACTCAAAGTAGAGTATAACTTTGACTCTATCACCTGGCGTAGATACTCTCTTTATGATATCCGTGTATTTGTTTTTATAGATATCAAGGTTCCAATATTTAATCATATTCATGTATTGCAACAAAACATGGGCGAAGTATATTCGTTCCTCAACTACATTAGACTGGCATAACCGTTGTTATGTTATCGTAATGTTAAGTTGTGACTCCAAACACCAAAACTAGATTACGCATTTATACTAATGGTCATCACAACTGAACAGTGCTCCAGTCCGCGGAATTTGACTTATATGCATGTAAAGGACTCCACCATTTACGTTACAGGGTTGTAATTAGTAATATCTGAGGGATCATAATACAATGGGAAGTAATATCCCATAATGCATTGCATAAATGAGCAATAATATGCATACAATTTGCATGAAGCAGTAAACATCAGCTAGTTCATTGCGCTCATAATCTAACGTGCGGCTTAAATTTGCTTTGTCGGAAGACTTGCAAACATGTATTAAAACTTAGTCAGCGTCTATACTATATTATTTCACCAGAAAATAACTTGGTGTAAGTACTATACTGATACTCATATCACAAGTTTAGCGTCATCTCGCTATTAAACTTAAGTAGAGTGCTATCTAGGTTGTTGACATCGGTTAACAGAGGAACGTAATTTAATTCCTTTCAATTGATTAGCGTCAGCTGTTTTCAAGGGTTGAGATTAGACGTGATTTATTACTGGTTACGAACTAGTTGAGCGAGGCTAACCGAGTCGTAAACTCGCTGTGGTTCGTAACCAGTCTTGTGATTGATTCTTGACACATTCTGAACAGGGCACACCTCCAATTATGCCGTTCTTTCTGTGTAACCGTTAATTATTCGTAAATGGAGTTTTATAGTTTTCTTGATTTATTCTTGTGATATCGGTCAAATAAAAGTAAGTCTTTGGCGAAATTTGATAAAGCAACTAATATTCTTCAAGCTGGTATTTTTTATAGATTTTATTTTTCATTCTTTTTGTCCTTTTCTCCAGTTTAAAAAATATGGGCTCGCTCGAGCCTTCATCCCGTGTCTATTCCGTACACTAGATACACGCCGATACTCCGGCCCTCGCCCATAGAGACTGCGCACAGTTGATTATATTTCCTGGGCTCCCTGTGTTCAGTGTATACAACTGGCCGACTGCAGTTCGGGACTGCTCAATGTGGGGGTCTTTGCTAATTGCTGTTGATTTTTTTGAGAATAGTCAGGGCATTGAAATCATGAATCATTAGTGCAATGTACTGAATTATTATGAATCGAATCGTAAAAGAAGTACTGTTTTGTAGTTTGAGCAATTCATAAATTTTACTATTTGTATTTCTTTTTCTTTTAAAAAAATCGAATCGTCGGGGAAAAGGGGAGAACGCCATATAACACGTACATTCATTGTTTTTGTTGTGAATAAACGCGAAGGATACTAAAACAAGACCATAGGTGATATTTGGTACAGTCAATGTCCAGTTGTTGACGATAAAATATACAAGTTTGGACATTATGTCACAATTTCTCTCGATAGTTCTGCAACCTGATAAAAATGGTTGGTTCATCTCAGATTGTTATCAATTAAAGTACCAATAAATGAGATAACTCCAGCTCCGGGTCTTAATGGCCCTACTGCCGATACTTGTACACTTATGAAACAATAAAGTAGGGTTTCTTTTATTGATGAACAGCGTGTTTGCGTCACACCATGGCAGGACATTGTTAAGATGAAAAGTGGTATCATTCGGGTTCAGTGAACAAATGTTAACATAAGTACAATATAAATTGGACTTGTCGGCAAACAAGAAGAAATATAAAAATAGACGAATTGGGATGATCGTTATTGTATAGTAAAATCAACGCGGGACATAACTTTGGATGGGGTTCAAATTGACGCTAAACTATAAAAAAAACTATATCATACATATTACAACTACAATTTTGTGTTTGATAACATTCAAAATAAAGAATTTTAAGAAGATAACATGCATTAAAGCAAACAAATATGTAGTTCAATGTTACACTCACCACAAACTTTGTCGGTAGTCTCTGCAAACCTCACAGAAACTAAAGCGACCACAAAACAGATGAGAGTACGTTGAACCATGTTGCTTGCTCAAATTCTAACTGCGTCAGTGTAGCTCTTTCGGATGTTAGGTGGATGTTATAGCCACGTAACCAGTTGTTGCATGGATGTAGAACATTCCATTTGTTGTGTGTAGGGTGTTACCATACAGCTGACTGTGATTACAGTCTCAGCCATGGGCACATACTGTGGACAGTAGTGTAAATATCAATTAATTTGATATAAGTCAATTACAAGAATAACCCTGCTTTCTTCAACTTTTCACTTCCCTGGAGTGAATGGGTAACTGGCAAGGGGTGAGTTTACCTCTAACGTGGTTTCAGCTGCTCAGTAGGGATGGCCTCCGAGGAAGTTAGATTTCCTCAAGAATCACTGCGTTTTGATGACGTTAAAGCGACCTGACTACGTAATATCATTCCTGGAAATTGAAATTCAATATTGCTGCCCTGGGGCAATTTGTTTTTTGGTCAAGCTGAAATAAATCATTTTGCAATATCAAGTAACCCAATTAGAAATTGAAATTAAGCCAGAAAGATTTCAGGTACTGTGCATACAATTTACGCAGCCACGCAGGTTATCAAAAGGCTAATTTTCCCAATAATCCCATGTCTAGACGGTACCAGTATGTTAAAGAATTAAACACAGCACTGTGCATCTAATATATAGACCAACACATGTCAATAACCTGGTTTTCGAAATAATCCCATGCCTCGACGCTACTACTATACCAATAGAATAATTATAGCATTATACACACAATATATACATCCACGCAGGTCAATAGACCAGTTTTCGCAATAATACGGTTTTAGCACAAATGTTTGTTCTACAATTTGGGAAACCTATACTAAATTTCAATAAAAATGCCCGGGTGACAGTGAGAGTATTTTTGTCAAATCAGGGGCCACATTCTCTTCTATTTTGTTGTCAGGTTTAGTGTTTTTACCTGGGTTATCAAATCAGCATGAATTACTCGTACTTCAACAGTGGAATATTTTCTTCTCATGAGATAATATTTTGTAAAATAACTCGTTGAAATACGAAATCAACGTAATTATTTTGTATACAAACTCTGGGTGAACTACGGTTTATCAGTGACGCATTTCTGGAAAGTCTGACGCGTGATGAGGCTTAGGTTACATAGCAACGCACCACAGCATCAAACGTGTCATGTGGGTACCATGTGTGAAACAGGTTGTCGATGCTGTACTGAGTAAGCTTTATATTAGACACTCTTTAAGTTTAAGTTACACTCTGCTGGTTCAACTTTAACCGTATGAACTGTCAACTAGCAGGGTAACAACTGTGATTCTATATCACAAGATGATGTCAAGTTTTCAAGTGCTGTCCCCAGTAAAGTAATTAAAACTGCCCACCGTACGGATACACATGGGAAACTATGTGTTTTACTATTTAATTACCAATGACATTGACCAACATATGTTAAACTAACATTTAGTCAGTCCTCTGTGAAACTTTCTGCAGTCAACAGCTTAAGGATAAGGCTCCTGCAGAATGACACTGTACATTGTACTGTTACATACAGTCAAAGATAGCTGGAAAGACCACAGACTATAGGGGTTACAAATGACTCTGTATCCAATGATGGAACCTACTCTATGGAGGCTACCTATTCCTGATCTATGTCAGTATCTTTGTGTTTCTGCTTGACTACTTGCTGTCTGCTACCACATTGAGCTCCAGATCTAAACTTGCTACATTAACTTTAACTTTACTATAGCTGTGTACATCTATCCTTCTCCGCATCTTTATTGTGTGGGAGAAGTATGATGTATACACCATGGACATGATCATCGATGACGTTTGACAGTGACTCTTTATTATAACCAATAACCGATAACCAATCGCATTGGACCGTGTACATGACATCATGGCAAACAATTAAATAATATAATATACCATTTCTGGGATATAGTGGATATATTCCGCATTGTTGATGTTTGTATTCTGGGTCTGAACTAACTCATATTGCGGATAACTCTCACAACTCTCACGACTACGTTTATGTCTAATACACGTTTTAGCTACCATCATTCACTTTTATTGGTGAAATCTCAAGTTCTTAACCAATTCAAAATCACACAACAGAGAGAAACAACATTCCATACTTGTCATATATATATATATATATATATATATATATATATATATATATATATATATATATATCTGTAAAATATCACTTAAATAAACTGCCCACGAAAATAACAATTCTATCTAATAACAAGTATTATAATAGCATAATAACTGAAAGCCCAGAACTAACTAGCATGTGTGAGGAATGTTAAGTACCTATATTGTAGCCATGATGAATGGAATTAGTCGCCCGGTGAATTTCACGTAGCCAGCAAATGGAGTGCACGAATTGAAGCATCTACCTTCGCAGCCATAATACCAGGCGTCCTTCCCAATTTGACTTCTCAGAATTTAATTTTAAATGCCCAGTTTGGTTGTGGTAGTCACCAAATTTCAGATCATGCTAAAGTGTGGAATTGCTTCCTTGGCAACATCTCCAGTGGCAACAGCCACAGAACCAAGCTGTGTCAGTTTTATTGTGTCACTTGGCCCACAACACCTGTTCATTCATCCAGCAAAGTCCAGGAGCTATATAATCTAACTCTAACTTGTGGGACGTTATCAGTTCATATTATGATAACATTTAAATACATAATTACACCTCATTATGATAAATAAATGCATTATTTCACTACTCTTCAGACTCTTTGTCAGAAAGTCCAAAGACGATGGGAAAATTCTCGGCATACAAAAAAGCACAAAACGATACAACATTTTAATAATATCAATAATTTTATCAGTTCATCCACTGCACATGTGTCCGGTTCTCAAAACATTACCAACAAGTTTACAGTCTCACTGTTTATAAAGTGTATATCACCACACTGTAACATCACACCTATGTGTGACTGTATATACGTATATAGTAATATTGATGATCAACTGGATCATACACTCAATACCGGTATGGTAATGATGCATTAGTAAGATGGTATTAGTACAAACATCTCACAAACTCTGAAGATTGAGAACAGTAAGAAGACACATGTTCACGAAATTATGAACCACATTAATAATACGTACCAAAATGTCCGAGGGAACTGTGGACCCACAATAAATTCAAAATTAGAAAGTGAGGCGAAATAACGAGGGCTACAGGTGCGCGTGATATGCAGCATACAGGGGCAGCATCTGCTCCCGTGATGCCTACAATTTTAATATGTATCCGTCAGTCATGTATATCTGATAACAAGAATCTCTTTGAAAAGCTATTCTTGAGTCTTCTGATATGACTCTAGTTACTGGAAGAGATTGATGAAGACACCACGGTGAACCATTCATTTGTGATATTAGGAGGGATGTACAGCTATGCGGGATGTTGTTGGGATAATACCTCTCAATGTTCATTGGATTAAGTATGGAAGAAGCATGATGAGGTATGAATAAATACAGTGGCTGAGATTTATTTAAAAATTTGAAGTCGGGTTAAATCTGAAAACATAAGTATATTTTTGCAACATGATAAAATGCAAGGTTATGCAGAAAAAATGTCTGAAATAGGGAAACAAACATCTAATTGCGATAATAAGGAACCCCAAAATACCAAATTGTATCATTTTTCAGTATACAATAAAAGCGTAACAGTTATGCTCCTATTCTGGCAGTCTAAAGCATTGATTAAAAAAACATGGTTTGAACACACAACATATGTTTGGATACATGATGGGAAAGGTAATTTAAAAACACCCATCCCATCTGTTAGCAACTGGAAAGTGTTTCATTTGGGTGAATAGTGGTCTAATTTGCAGTGCAGCTGTTTCATGAGTGAGTTAGAATATTAGGAAGGCGCCAATCTACCTGGCTATTTGCCATAGAGTGGAAAATTTCTTTCAGCTTCGATAGATTTTTTTGATTACATTTATTTACTATGTATACCTGCAGTCCGTCTATCTGCGATCTGGAAACGGCTAGCGCTCTTTTGTATGGAACCGCGTTGCGTCAGGAAGTCAGACAGATTACGAAACCGTCAGAATATTCAGCAAATTAACCGCCATGACCTCAGATTACGGGCAACTACAACATAAACAAAACATTTTAATACAATTAGCACTATGAAATTTTGTTTTTTTGAATCCTGATACGTATCACTCCAGCCAACTAACTCATAATCATCCAGAGTCTGGCATGTAAAGATTAATATCGGGAACTGTGTCCATTATCAGAGGGAAATTCTTCTTCTCTGGGGTTCTCCACACTTGTCAGGGGGGAATCTCGTCTCGTCTCTATATCTTGTCGGCTTGAGGTACGGGATCGGGAAAGTCACTTAAGCTCTACAGTCAAACAGACGCACACAACGAAATACGTATCAACTCTCGTCTTTAGTCGGTCAGTCGAGTACTCTATAAGACACAGCGCCCTGGGGGAAAAGTCCCCAAGACTATCACAAGGCTGACCCAAGACTGCGTCTCTCGTGGTGTTCTCGCCAAGACCAACTAAAACTCCTTTATTCACTTTCAAAACCTTAACCAATTACAAAGAAGTTAAAAGACTCAACTTGCACAATCAAACTAAGTACACGTCATATCTTTTGATTAATCGTTCACTATATTACTAACTGCAAATACCCAACTGTCAGAAATAGTAGTCCGGATAGCGACGGTTGTATCGTAATTAGTTCCAAATCAAGTCAAGTTCCGTCCAGAACCTCGCATGAGCCTAAATGATGACAGATATAACACAGCCATTCAGTAGTAATCAGCTAACCAAGTCGGTCAACAAATACGCGATAACTAATTCATAACACCATCTTCTAGTTTTCATAGGAAAAAACGGCGCGTGCCAACATGCTGACATCGCTAACAAATCTTGTCAAAAAGGCGTCGTTCATGTTAACGTAGTCGATCGAAAAACCTTGTATATTTCTGATTCTTGGGGGTTCATAAAAATTCAAGTCAAATATACAACAATAAATGACTTTATTTATATGATTTTTCAGCACTGAATAGCGTAAATTGTCATTTCAAAATGTCGCCATTTGCATTTATGATCGAAA